CTTTATTGCATGTTTTGTTTTACATGAACTTCCCTAAACTAGTAAAAAGTACTCTAACAAGCAATACTGTTATTATTAGCTATATTACACACCCCATGAAAATGCCTTTAACCAAATTAGAGAATTATTAGTGGGTTAAAACTTCCTAATATAAATTTTAAAACATATATGGTTACATGTATGGGTAAAGAAAGACTAGAGTATATTACTAGAGGATCTATAAGCTATATTTTGGAAAAAGCCAATTTAAATTAAAAACTGTAACTAGTGCGTTAAGGCCTATTGAAATTACATATCTTTGTACAAAATGCCAATTAATAAAATTTCAGAATCTAACAAATATAATTCAGCCAGTGTGCAGAGAACTACTTCATTTAATTTTTAATTATTTTTCCAGACAGACTTTTACTCTGTAAACCAGGCTAGAGTGCAATGGTGGGATCAGAGCTCACTGCAGCCTTAATGCCTTGGTTCAAGCAATTCTTCCATCTCAGCTTTCCAAGTAAGTAGCTGGGACTACAGGCACATGCCACCATGCCCAACTAATTTTTTTTTCACTTTTTTTTTTTAGAGACAGAATCTTGGTATGTTGACAAGGCTAATCTCAAACTCCTGGCCTCAAGTAGTGGTCCTCCTATCTCAGCCTCCTGGGTCACTGGGATTATGAGCACTCCAACCTCATTTTATAATGTCCCATTTCTTAATCACATTAGTAAATTTATTTACTAATGGGGAGGACTTAAATGAAGAGTGTTAGAAAATACATCATTTTATCTCACAAAAACACTTTTAAAACTATAAGACAAATAATAATTTACGGGAAAAAACCCAGCTACTGAGGTATCTATGCATTTACAAATAGCAGTGCAGTTTCCTTACTAAAACATAACCTCTATATATGTGTGTGTATACATATGTGTATCAATCAGAAGGGTTAGAACAGTAAATATGAACCAGAAACTAGCAGAGCAAAATAAAATGTCACCTAGTGATATGACCTGATTAATGGTTAGAAGTTATGGCTAATCCCAACAATTTTTTTTTTAATAAAGCTGGGTAGCTACTGACTAGCACTTGCTAACTAAAAAAAAAGAAAGAAAAAAATACAGACTTCAAATAATTAAGAATTGAACATTTTCTGCATGCTTTCTCATAATCAAGTAATAAGTCAATATTCAGAACAGCAGAAATACTCAAAGATGAAAGTAAATAATTAAGATGAATTATAAGGAATTACATAAAATTTTGCCTACCAGCTACTATAAAGCACTGTGCAAACCAACTGTATGAGCAGTTGCTGAGTTATATACCCTCCGCTGAATACAAATATCTAAACAGATGCAAAAGATTTATAAAATGTTGCAGAAACGAGGACACATTGAAAAACATATCTGTGCACAACAAACTAATGAGTCCACTATATAGATTATGGTTCGCAATCTATTTCAAATGTGCCACATTTTTCTTGCCTCTTTCATTCAAATAATATTTACGATGCCAGGCACTGAGTCATTATTATGTAATTACATATCTTTTAGGTCCAAGCTTGGAATTGATTTCCTTTTGAAGAGCTGTCTCCAGTACCTCAAAACCAGGCTAATATTTATCCCCTAGCATGCTGTCCTTACTCCACAAAGGGTTTTCCTTCCTTAAGACCCTATTTGTGCATTTGTAACTAACCAGCAAGCAGACTCCATGCATAGAGACTATCTCTTATTAACTCAGTTACCAAGACTTAGCCAGACTAGGTGAATAGAGTCACTAGTGAAAGTGGTATCTTCCAATGCGTCAGCTGAAACAGGTGAAATCATACCAGAAAGCATCAACCTTTTCGATAAAGGGTTCTAAAACATTTTTGTAGTGTGGATCCTGTTAGCAATATGGTAAAGCCTAAGAACTGCTTTCTTAGAATGAAATTATTTAAAACACAAAATAAAATACCTAAGATTTTAAAAAATTAAAATATAAGTATTTTAAGTGCTTTTTTGTTACTATATTAAATTATAGGCTCTACCATAATTTTGAAGCATGAGCAATATTTAGCGAATTATAAATAAATGTGAAATCATATTTTAAAAACCATTATTTTCATCACTCACAAGTTTACACATACAGTTAACTAATTGGATCTCTGTATGGGATTATTTCCAATGATATTAACAGGCTTCATAGATTGCTATATGAAACAACTATCTAATATCAGAATAAGGAAACTCTATACACCATGAACCATTCCAAAGTGAATAAATTCCAGAAGAACTTCAGTAAACTCTCATCAAAATTTCAATTAAAAAATAAGGGAAAAAAGTATTTAAAAGTACTGGACTGACCTATCACCTTCATTGTCAAAACAGTGTCTAATACAGTGTCATATATCTATATAGTTCAAAATAATTCACTAAGTTTACTATTACTCTGAGACACCATGCTAAGCAGTAGAGATACAAAGATTAATGACATCTGATCTCTTTGTAGGAGGAACAGGGAAGTTAGCAAGGGAAACAAACGTTTAAACAAATGATTATCACAAAATAAATTACATCATAGAGTTATAAACCTAGTGTCCCAGCAACACAGAAAAATAGGTATAAATAATGCTATTTTTAACCTTATTATATAAGCACAAATGTGAGAGGTCAAAGAAATCAAATGGCAAATGTAGATCAAAATTATGAAACCATTTTATGATAGAAAATTAATTGCGGATGACTGCAACACTCTTTATATTAAAAAATACATTCTTCTTATAATGCAAAGTCATAGGAAAAAAACACAGCTGCCAGTGTCAGAAGCACTGTAGGACTATATGAAATGTACATTAACAAAAAGGAGATTTGACATAACAGATGGAATATCAAAATGAGCCATACTGGTTATTCCAAGTGGAGTGCTACAAGTAATATAACTTCCAGATTGTTTTTTCACATTTAACTTAATTCCCACAATACTCAGAGAATTTCAATATATCTTGCCTTTATTAATTAAATCAATCCTACTGATCACCAATCACGATAAAAATCCTGCTCCCTTAATCAAAGATGACTTAAGATATTAGAGGATAGATTATTCGAAGTGATTTATAAAATAGTATCTCTATATAATGATAATCTCTTACTATCATTCTTCATTTGAAAAGATGAAAAGAAGGAGAAAAGGATGGGCTTTTCCTATCAATTTTAAGTGATATAACCATTTCTGAAAATTAAGATAAAAACAGTATGCTCTTAGATACATCAACCAAATGGGTAAGATCTGAAAAGACTGCAAGTTTCTGATGACTATACCAGCTCTGAAAAAAAAGAGCAGTTTTATTTACAAAGTATTTTTAAAATACAGATTGAGCATCCCTAATCTGAAAAACCAAAATCCTCCCAAAAATTTATGTTCTTCCTATAACACAAACCAAAATGCTCTGAAATGCTCCAAAACTGGAGGGCTGACATGATGCCACAACTGAAGAATCCACACCTGACCTCATGTACTAAGTCTCAGTTAAAACGCAGTCAAAACTATGTTTCCTGCACAAAATCACTTAAAATACTGTATGAAATCACCTTCAGCCTATGTGTATAGGTTGTACATGAAACAAATTTTGTGTTTAGACTTGAGTCCCACCCCCAAGATAACTCATTATATATGCAAAGATTCCAAAAGCAAAAAAAAAATTTTTTTTGAAATCAGAAAGACTTCTGGTCCCAAGCATTTCAGATATATAGTACTCAACTTGTAACTTGTTTCCTACTACTGGAAGTATTACACCAACTCCATACTGTGAAAAATGGCCATTTAAAAAAAGGGAGAGAGAGAGAATTAGGCATTTATACTGCTTTTGATATATAGGAGAAATGCTGTTTACTCCTGGCTGCTGAGAGAAAATATTTTCTACAGAAGAATAACATTTAATAAATGCGGACACCAGGACAGAATTAAGAAAACAATCCGCCATTCTATAACCTTCAATGTAACAAAATTATTAATTAAAAAGTTGCCTCAAAAATAATGTCAAAATGACATACTGCAGAGTACTTGTTAATCTCCACAAGAAAACCCTATTTCCAATAATGTAGATATGTGATTGTCATTACGTATTCATGTGATCAAATATAGCACCACAAATAGGGAGACAAGCTAAAATAATGTGTCTCCCATGGGAATGAAATTATATAGACAGCAATACTTACGAAGTTTAGAAACAAACAAACAAAAACTCCTCAGCCTGAATGGATTTATACCTCTAAACTTAACCTCCAGTTAACAGATATCCAAGGAATGGAGAAATATAAAAACATCATAATGAAAAGAAATCTGGCCAAGCATGGTGGCAACACTTTGGGAGGCTAAGGCAAGAGAATTGCTTGAGGCCACAAGTTCAGGATCAGTCTGGGCAGCATAGTGAGACTCTGTCTGTATCTTTTTTAAAAAATAATTTTAAAATTAAATAAAAAATTTAAAATCTTACAAATGCAGAATTTAAGACAACTGCTTGTGACATTGCAAAAAAAATTAAAAGGTACAAATCATATGCTATATTAAAAGGAACTAAAGAGATAACAAAAAGGAGTAAACCTTAAGAACAAACAGAAAAACAAAGAACACCACTAAACAAAATCAGAGAAAATTAAATTAGCTTACAAAGTGTTGTAAGTTACACAGAAACTTCAAGTTACAAAAAAAGCACTGCTCATATCCATTAATATTCTAGTTTGGAATACTGAAGTTCTTGGAGTAATTATAAATAGAAATTAATATAACTCAATAACACCGCTTAAATGGCTACTGTTTAATAGCTACTTTATTGAGAACAAAATTTTAGAGTATTAAATTTTTATTATAAATTCATTTATTCAATATGATAACTTAATAACTTTTCTAATATACACTGATGCATGAAGAAAAGTCAGATTCCATATTCCATATTTGGCTGGAAAACCCATTATATAAATGGTCTGCAGAGAGAGAGAGAGAGAGAGAGAGAGAGAGAGAGAGAGAGAGAAACTTACCACTTGTGTTAAAAGCCATGCAGCACACTGGCTTCTCATGGGCAGGGAAGTGGGCCACAATGCCATCACTGTCAGAATCCTCACTCACAAGCACCTTTGCAAAAGAAATGAAGACAAATGGAGGTAAATATTTTCTCACCAATAACCAAGCTTGAAGACTATAAGAAGGTACATCACAATACCACTGACCAAATAACATTTCCACTCTAGTAAATTATGCTTGTATATAAGGAGAGAATTCTATTTTAGAATCAAGAAAGAGATATAACATGCCCCTAAGCAGATCAGTCATATAAACTCTAAAAAGAGTCAGCTAACTTGACTGTAGATGACAGAAACAATTACTTCTTCAAGTATACGTTCGGAGAAAAAAAATAATACAATCAACTACTTTCGATTCTTTACAAAATCACTTAGAGCTTTATCCAAGGACAGGAAATATAGGTCTTACTGTGTTATGGGATCTGCTGGAAAATCACTTTTTTTTTTTTTTTTTTTTTTTTGCCCATTATTGAAATATAACAGGAGAACAGGGAAAATAACATGTTAAACATAAACAAGGGGGTGTATAGAGAAATCACCCAATAACATTTTCATATTATAGTTTGAAAGTTGTGTTCTTCAACTCCTAGTTTACAGAGAGAAATAGAACAACTTTGAAACTACTATCAAATCATAAAAGCAGAGGTGTATTAGTGGGTAGCTCTGTATGTCAAATGGAGTTTCTTTTATTCACTCCTCTTAATTTTTAAGACTATATTGAAACATAATTTACATCCATATAATTTCCCATCATAAGTTAAACAACTCTTAAAAAACTGTTCTTATCTAACGTTTCAGAAAGAAAACCTATTACACCAATTTTGGAACATGATATTTAGACGCAGAGAAATTTAATTTCAAGTAACCTTGGAAGTTGTCCTACACTGGCAATGCTAATTTTTTTCTTTCAAAAATGCATGTTAGACTAAAGTCCTACTATGTGTAAAATACCCTGCGCTAAGAGCTCAGAATAAAGCTAAATGTTATTCCTGCCCTGAAAGATACAGAGTAAATGACTAGAACAGTTTTTCTATCAGTTACAACATATTTGCAAAGATAGCTCAAAAAACAATGTACTTAAGCACCAAGATAGTATTTGTGTGTCTGAAAGTTTTACAAAGATACAACTTGCATACCATAAAAGCGACCCATTTTAACTTTACAGTTCAATGATGCTATACAATATCATAACGATCACAAGCCATCACAAAAATGTCTGAAATGTTATCCTTTCCAATCTTTAAAATTTATTGCTCTAGCTAGAACCTCCGCTTCAATCTAGCTACAAATACATTGATTATATTGATCTTTTTAAAGAATCAATTTTAGATTTTTCCAATATTTCACTGTTTGCTGTTCCATCAATTTCTATCCAGATCTTTATTATTTGCTTAATTTGCCTTGCATTGGTTATAACCTGCACCTCTTTTTATAATCTTTTAAGGGAAACACTTGCATTATTAATTTCAGACCATATTCTTTTCCTAATATAAGCATTTAAAGCTGTACATTTTCTTCCATACAATAGTACAGCTACACTCCTTAAATTTTTATATGTTCTGTTTTCATTTTCAGTCAATTCAAAATATTTTCTAATGTCCCTAAGCTTCTTTCTTCGACCCATGAGTTATTTATGTTTTATTTCCAAATATTTGGAAATCCTCCAAATTGAATATTGTTATTGATTTTCACCGTCCTTAGAGAAATACTCTGCATGACTTTAATCCTTTTAAAGTTATTGAGATTTGTTTCATGGCCAGCATCTGTTCTATCATGTAAAATGAATGTCCCAGATGTTTTTGATTAATGTGCATTCCGCAGGTTTTGGGTGGTCAAGTTGGTAAATAACGTCAATCATGTCTTCTAAGTCTTTTCGAACTTTCTATCCAATTGTTCTATCAATTATTTTTAATAGAGAAATAGTTGTACATGTTTACTAACATGCATGGGGAAAATTACAGAGTGCTTACTCCTATCAACTAATGAGAATAAATTATTGAAAGCTTGGGCTGTAACAAAGAGCTAAAATTTCTGCTTTCGATTTTGTCAGATTTTGTTCAATGTTTTCAGGGGCTGTGTTGCTAGGAATTTATGCACTAATAATTGTTTTATTAATCATACATATTAATAATGTTTTTCTAGAACAAGTATCACTGAGCAAAAAGAAAAAATTGTTTTATCTGTATTATGTATTAACGATTGTTTTATCATATTGACCTTTTTATCATGAATGAAAGAAATGTCTCTCTTTAGCAATACTTCTTGATGTAAAGTCTTTAAAATTACTATAGCACTCTAATTCTATTATGGTTATTGTTTACATGACATATTTTTTTTTAATTTCAACTTTTTTTTTTTTTTTGAGACAGAGTTTCGCTGTTGCCAGGCTGGAGTTCAGTGGCACAACCTTGGCTCACCGCAACCTCTGCCTCCTGGGTTCAAGCGATTCTCTTGCCTCAGCCTCCCAAGTAGCTGGGATTACAGGCGTACCCACCACGTCCAGCTAATTTTTTTTTGTATTTTTAGTAGAGATGGGGTTTCTCCATGTTGGTCAGGCTGGTCTCAAACTCCCAACCTCAGATGATCTGCCCGCCTCAGCCTCCCAAAGTGCTGAGATTACAGACGTGAACCACTGCACCAAGCCAAGGTTTTATTTTTTTGACCCACATCACTCAGAAAATTTTCTTGCTTTGGTACTGTACTATGGCTACGAAATATATCGTCATTCAGGTTAAGTTGAAGGAAGTAAGGTGAAAGGCATGTGCAACTTACTGTTAGTCTAAAATTATTTCAAAACTAAAAGTTAAAAATATAGAATATATTGCAAGCTTTTGAGTGGCTCAGTTTCTGATAAGTAAAAAGTGGTATCTCACTTCTAATTTGCAGCTCTCTTATATTAATAACAAGTGAAGTTATGGGTATACTTTATATCATTTATATGTATAGTTGACCTTTGAACACCTCATGTTTTACAAGTGCTAACCCCCTGCACAGCTGAAAATCTACATATGACTTTTGCTTCCCCAGTATTTAACTAGCGATAACCTACTATTGACTAAAAACCTAAATGATGACAAAGAATTGCCAATTAACACATATTTTGTATGTTATTTTTTATTATAGATTATATTCTTAACAATAATGTAAGCAGAAAATACATTTACTGTTCATTAAGTGAAAGTGAATCAATCTTAAAGGTCTTCCTCTTCAATGTTTTCAAAATGAGTAAGCTAAGGAGGAGGAGGAAAGCCAGGAAAAGAAGGGGTTGGTCTTGCTGTCTAAGGGCTGCTAGTAACAAATAAAATCCACATATAAGTGGACCTGCACAGTTCAAACCCATGTTGTTCAATGGCCAACCGTATTTTATTTTTTTCTGTGAAATATCTATTTCTATCTTTTGCCATTTTTCTACTTTAACCTTTATCTATAAAATTCCCTTTCCTTTCGTATATTATAACCCTACATCCTATATGTTTCCTTCCAACACAATTAGCATTGAGTATTCAATTTGATGGCAATAATAAAGACAGAAGCTATCCAACAAAAAGACACATTAATCTTACCACTACATAAGATTCTTTGAATGTTTTCTTTATGGATTTCACAAATATAAACAACCAGATACTTTTGGAATAATCTTCTCCATTGCATCATCATCTAGTCTAAAACATTAAACCATTAATGTCAGAGATATTCCAATATAATTTTCCTAAGACATGGAATCTTTACTCACCACTTATCAAAACAAGATGAACTCTTAAGTCTGTATTAACAACCTGACTACATTAAACAAAGCAGAGCACATGAATTGATTTAAGGTGGATAAGTCTTTATCAAATGAACAAAACACCTCAGAAGCTATTAAATTATTATGAATAACACTTGCTCCTCAAGCAAGAAATAGCTCAGATTTATGTCATCATTCTGAAGCATTTTATTTCCATTAGAGATTTTGCCACATTGCTAACTTCAACTACATAAATGTGTAAAAAGCAAATTATACCACTTAACTTATTCTGGTCAAGAAATGCTTTTAAATAAAACATGAAAGTAACACAGATAAAAATGGATGCAAAGTCAATCAAATCCATTCCTCCTTAATGCAGTTAACACACAATGATCCCATCACCATAAAATCAAACTAATCAATATGGCATCAGAAAGATGGTGAATCCAATTTTATATACTACCATTATAAACACAAAACATATCATTATTAAAGGCTCGATGGATTTAAACAGAAAAAGTCAATGTATTGTCAGCTTTTCATATACAATCTAAGTTATATCTGGAAAAGGAAATTACAGTTTAGGCTAAACATCAACCGAAGGGGCTAAAAGCAATAAATCTATGACATTAACCACTGCAGTTTGAATACAATCTGGCATAATCTAAAAAGAGCCTGTACTCCAACTGAACTACTTATCAGAGAAAAAAACATTTTATTGACAAAAAACAGATTCATGTTAATTAAAAGAAAGTATCATACTGTACAAATCTTGCTTTAAAAATTATAACTCTTTAAAAATGTACATACTAATTTCCCTTTTATGGAAAATCCATTTCTTTCCTGTCCTCTAACAGAATTTTTTAATCAAGTTAAAATTTCGGAATATGTCATAAGTGGAAGATTGGTGCTATCAACCAATAACAGAAAAGGTAGAATGTTCTATGTTGAACAACATTTAAGATTCTTAACTTTCAAAAGTTAGTATTTCTATGATTCTTTTTAATCAATGTATTTGTTTCAAGTGTTATCAATGCATTTATCACAAACAAATGAACTTCTGCAACTCTGCATTCTATAGTCTACTTCTATACTCCAAAATGAAGACTTCCTTTTTAAAGGTCATAAAGAGTTAATGAACTTGAAGAAAAAAATTAAACCACATTTTAAAACATAAGGCCTAAATGTTACATTTTTATGTATGTCCCCATACTTCCATTTAACAAAATAAATATACAAATTACACCTCTATTTCATCAAAAATGCTGAGATAATATTTTTCTATTTTGAAATAACCCCAAATCTCTCCTCAACAAATGCTGGATCTTTAACAGATGTATGGACCTAGACAATGTTGAGGAGACTTGCTACTACCCAATAAATGTGGGTGGCCTTATAGGTGAATTAGTTAAGAATCAAAAATCAAAGAACAAAAGGAATTTTTTCACTCTCTCACAACACTAAAGGTTAATACATTTCATTTCAATTAAAAACGAGAACATTTGTGTGCATCCAGATCAACTAATTAACACAGTTATTACAGTCAACTGAAAAGTTTTCCAGCACTTCATTAAAAAAATACAAATTTGTAACATATTTGGCTAACCACAAAGTTAAGACAGGAGAGGCAGAGAATTATTATTCAGATTTCAAGTAAAATACAACAGCCAAATTTAATAACCCAGAATTTCAAAGTTTTTTTTTTTTTAATTGCAATAAAATTTTCTTGATGCCATTAATCTTACTATAGGAACGAGCAAATAAGTAGTTGTCATATGTAATTTTTCATCAAGATGTCGACCCATATATACTGGAAACATTTTCTCAAAACATATGCAATATTTAAGGTTAATACTCTAACAGCTCACACAGTTTCTAACCATTGTGTTCTGAATACATAATTATATATTCTATATAAAAACTAACAGGAATTTTATTTCACAAATACTGCGTATTCCTATCTCACTCTAGGAACTGATTTTAGATTGCATTTTTATATCAATGATCACACAGTATCAGAATAAAAAAAATACCTTCCTTTAAGAAACATTTATTTAAAATGAAGACTATGATATAAAAGAAAACAAAGTTTAAGAGTGCATGGGGGAAAAACACAACCCAAATGTTATCTTACCAGCAAGATTTATATGCAAAGGTAACATGTATTTTCATGCTTATAATCACCCATTGTAAATGTTTCTGAAGGTAGATTTTTAAAATTTCAGAACATTGTATCAGAAGAAACAAAATTTTATAATAAGCTATTGCCACATATGTATTCTGATATGCTACTTTAAGATTTCACATATTTTTATAGATAAGGAAATATCTGTTATAAACTGTGATACTACTCACTAAATTATGTAACTTGCAACTATTAATTAATTTTTATAAATTCCTCTAAGTAAGTATGGTCCTGCCTTCAAAAAGAAATTTATATGACCAGGGGCAGTGGCTCACGCCTGTAATCCTAGCATTTTGGGAGGCCAAAGCAGGCATATCATCTGAGGCCAGGAGTTCAAAACCAGCCATGACAACATGGAAAACCCTGTCCTTACTAAAATTATAAAAATTAAGGCTGAGCACAGTGACTTCCAGCATTTTGGGAGGCTGAGGCAGGCAGATCACTTGAGGTCAGGAGTTCAAGACCAGCCTGGCCAACATGGAGAAACTTAACTCTACTGAAAAATACAAAAATTAGCAGTGCATGGTGGCACACACCTATAATCCCAGCTACTCAGAAGGCTGAGGCAGGAGAATCACCTGAACTCAGAAGGCAGAGGTTGCAGTGAGCCGATATCATGCCATTGCACTCCAGCCTGGTGGACAGAGCAAGACTCTGTCTCAATCAATCAATCAATAATAAAAACATAAAAATAAGCTGAGCGTGGTGGCACATGCCTATAATCCCAGCTACTCAGGAGGCTGTGGCAGAAGAATCACTTCAACCCAGGAGGCAGAGAATGCAGTGAGCCAAGATTACTCCACTGCACTCCAGCCTGGGCAACAAAGTGACACACCATCTCAAAAAAAAAAAAAAAAAAAAAAGAAAGAAAGAAAGAAAAAGAAAATTATTAATCTTATAATTTATGTTATGACAAATGTCATTACACACGAAAAAGAAACAGTAGTTGAGTCTCTGGGGTGGCAAGTTAAGAAGAAAAAGACTATTATGAACAGAACAGTATGAAACGTTACATAATTATGTATTTATGAAACAAATATCCTCACAGAGCAAGAAGAGAATCTTAGAACCTTAGAACCTTGACTTTGCCTTTTAGAACCTTGACTTTGCCTTCATGTTTGAGACATTAATAATGTTCAAAATAACAGGTTTTAACATGTTACTAATCATTTTTAAAGAAACACCTCATCTGAAATAATCTCAATTCCTAAAATTCCAAATTAATAATCTCCTAGGCCAAATACATGTTGACTAATCTTGATCTTAGCCCCGTCTTTGCAGGTAACACACATTGTGCACACCAAAAGTTCTTCTTACCTGGCCCTCTCCAACAGTTTCAGTGTCAATAACTGTGATGATGCCTGGGACCAAAGGACTCCGCCGTGAATTACTATGGATGGCAATGTCATCTTCTGTCACACCTGAAGGCAGTGTGCCTGTCAGCTGAGTCACCACTTTCCCCACCATTGTCAGGCCACTTTTCAATGTCTGTACAATAAAAGGTAAAATATATGACTTCACATCAGTATTTGGATACTACATAGAAATATGCATTTTTTTAGTTTTCCTAATCATAATGCTAAATTCTTTATTCTCTTACAATATTTTATATAGCACTAAACTGTCACAGACATTCGGGCCTGACTTTTAATGACCTTGAATTTTAATTAGAATATCAGTATTACTTTGAGGGAAGGGCATCAGTAAAGTCTTTAAAGTCTTCTGATATACCAAAACTTACATCTTTAAAGACTTTACTGATGCCCTTCCCTCAAACTAAGACCTCATCATGGCAGGGATAAAGCCATAGTTAAACAAATTAAAGCACTCTGTTTTACATAAGGGTACAATTACATTTTTATAAAAGATATTTCTTTCATTCCCTCCTCTTAATGTATACATCTTAAAATTAATAACATAGAAGTAGCAACTATGAAATGTTCAATTTTTGAAATATTGTAAATTTAATTGTATATCTATTTTCTAGTATGAAAAAGACTGAGACATTAGTAGAATACCTATGTGGAAAAGAATGTGCTTCAAAAGCAAATCTATAAATATGCTGTTATATAATACTGTATACCAAGATTTAGCATACAGAAAATACAGTCTCTGTTCAAGATATTAATTACTGGATGAATGAATTATCATACTAAACTAGTTAAGAGAGTTATTTTCTATCTGGTAACAGAAAACAATTAAAATGTGGTCTCCTACTATATTATTTCAATTAAAGATAACTTAAGATGTTTATAATTACATTTTAGTTCCATTTCATACAAAACAAAAGAGTAAAACTAACTCATGTAATATACTTTTTTCTTTGTAAATATCTGATTATCCTCATACACATTAATAGAAAAATTTCTTTAAATAACAAGTTTTTTAATCTGAAAGGAAGAAAGCTTCAAGTTCCTGAGTCTATAGAAAACAAAATGAAAGGAAGAAAGCTACCAAAGACAAATATATGCGAGTCACACATTGCTGAAGAATGTCATCATTAGAACCAAAACAGGCAGCCTAGAATACACAGATATATCAAAAATTACATTTTAAATAATATTAGGTACATTTTTCCAATTCTCATGTTGTAAGAAAAAAATTTCATTAAAATATTTCAAGTTAATCCTCCATGCGGTGACTATCTTTTCTAAAATAATTATGAAAAACAAATATCCTCACCTAGTTCTGGCACATGCTATGGCTAAATTTGAGAATATAAACTATTATATACATGGTATTTCACATTTTAATTCATGAAATGTGATTTAAGCAATTAGATTAAAATTGAAAAGGGGAGAAGTATTTTAAGAAGAAATGTTCTATTAAAATACCATAAAACTAGCACTAATAATAGATGCATTATTTTACTGTAGCTATGTTCCACAGTGCCTTTTCTATGGACTAGGGACTGGTGAAGGCACTTGATACTTCAATTTTATGAAATAGAAAATTGAGGCTAGGGAAATTAAGCAAAATGGCAGCTCAAACAGTTACCCAATGACAAAGTCAGAATTCAAAACTGGGATCATCCATCTCCACAGCCTGATTTTTAACCACTATCCTGTACTGTCTTGTAATCTACTTCTGTTACTACTTGTGATCTCACATCTAATGAATATAAAACACAGATGTCTGATGGGTAGAAAAGAGGAAAAATTAAGATCCATAATAATGTACTAATAAATACTTAAATTAAAATGACCAGCAAAGCTATCTGCTGAATTCAAACAAAAAGATATAATTTACAGCTGACTAAAACCAAGAGAAAGCCACAAATCAATTGTAATTGTTTTGTTTAGTGCTAAAAACTCAAACTCCAGTGATTATAAAACACATATTGTTCCTCAATTAGCAGCCAAACGTTTCTTTCAATAATTCACAAGAAATGACTTACACAAAGTCTGTTAGAGTGTTGTCAAGTAAGCCTCTGAAGAACCAACAGAATCAGGCGCCACAGTGTATTGATGTCAAGAGCAGGCCAGGAAGCCTGATTAACCTCTGAGATGCCTCAGCTGATGTACTCACTCCATTAATGCTAATGGAGATGCTCCCACTTAAATGCAGCTATGCCTTTATCAAAGGAATGCCTTTTAGTTTTAAAGTCTTTGGTTGTATATCCTCCCCATTTGCCCCTGAGCCTATTATTTCATGCTCTTATACCAATGAATAGGAATAAAACTAAAAGAACTGGAGCACATAAAAAGTGGAAAGTAATGTACCAAAGCAAACCACAAGATAACAGTAAAAGTTAACATAAGAGAACCAGGGAAAAGATTCACAGAGAGAGAGAAGACAGCAGTATATTTCATAGTCAGTGGCTCACATTACATGAAGAGTGCTTGATATTTCCTGGGGACAGGAGTGGGAGGGTGTGGGGGGAACTATGACTATTGATGGAGTCATCTTATTAGTGGACAAAAATCAAAACTCAAAATTTAAGAAATCTATTCTGCACTTTGTATAGCAAGTTACAAGTTACTACTATTTATCATAACCATTAACTATGCAGAGAGCCAAGGTGGTTATAGAGAAGTGTTGAAAGTTTTCTGCATTTGTAAAGACCCTTGCTTTTAGGGTAAACTTGTTTCCATTTTAGAATCAAGCACATCTATGAGCACTAGTGTCCAGAAGTTAACTGATAATGTTATTTAATGCAAATCTAAATCACCTCACAGTAATTTGTTTCTCCAATTATTTTTAGTAAAAAGAATATGTATATATCTATTTTCTCAAATATATATGAAAAATTATAAAGCCTCAGCAAAAAACAGAAATGGAGAAGTATAATCTGGACAAAATGAAAAATTAGACTGAGTGTCCTCACAATCTGAGGTATCTGCATAAAAAAGTTCATTAAATCACTGATTAATCTTCACACGAGTACTCACAGAACTAAACTGTAGCTGTAAGACAGCTGAACATTAGAGACTATAACGAAAGTGTGAGAAAATCCGTTATGACCTATAATTCCAATGAGCATGGTACTTATTCTGTTCTGCTGCAAGCAGATTTGCCGAAGGGTCACTAGTCATCTTTAACCTTTCCCATGCCATATCAGTTGGCCTTCCTATCCATTAGTGCTAATGGTGCTGCTCTCACAAAAGCTGTTAGTTGTCATTAAGAAGTTATCAGATAACAAGAGAAAACAGGGGCAGTTTTATTAAATCAATTGATCACACTGGGGTTAACACACATGAAAATAAGATCATAATGAGGGAACTAGAAAATATGGACCAAGATTTTATAAATGTGTCAAATAATCTCATGTGAAGAATTTCAATATCAACGTTTTTCTTTATCACTGCCATAGAAAATTCATGACTCTCATATTTTTAATGAGAAAAGTCAAATTACTTGTGATGAAAATCAAAGAAAAAAAATTAGTAGCATAAATATTATAAAACTGAATTTGAAAATGCAGAAAATGTAAAAAAGATTATTTCCTCTAAGGAGCTCCAAGTGTATATGCAATGAATATATTTATCCTCACATGCAGTGAGACAAAAAAATTAATAATCAATCCTTCTATATAACAAAGCGGCTAATAACCTCCATGAAGCCACAAAGGAAGCCGTCATCAGAAAGAGTAAAAAAGAGTGGTATGTTTTCAGAGAAAGTGACTTAATAAGATAACTGTAAAATTAAGAGTTTTTCTTAAGGAGCACATACTACATGGCCTTTTAACATACTTCCCATGTTATATCTCAAAAAAATCATCACCTAGAAATAAAAAATGTATTTTCTATTTTTAATAATGACAGGCTGGGGAAGTCGGATCAATCTGATTTCCACTAATGAGAACAACTAGGAAAATAAAAGAGAGTATTTTTGTAAAATGCTGCTTGAAAGTACTGAATATTTAACAACACGGTAAAGAGTTACAAGGTCAGAATCAGAAACAACAAGGAAATCCAGACATTTCAGCTGGGCGTTTAGGCCTAGAAGTATCTTGGTGATTCTAGGAAGCAGGAGATAGGATGCTAAGAAACTAAGTGTGTTTTTGATAGCTGGAACTAGAAAGTCATAGATGAGAGTCAAAGGCCTCTCAAATGCGTCTACCTGGTGATATTCCCTCCAAGTTTGGATTTGAACATAAAGAAATATACAATAGAAGAGTGCACCTACAGCAATAAGGTGAGCACAGCTATTGCAGGTGAACTTACTGAAATAATCTCAATCCCTAAAACTGGATTATTATTCAAGATTAATACTGTCCCAGCACTCCACTGTCATCCCAAACTCAAAACTATTTCTAAAAAGTTTTGAAATAAATTCTGGCAAATAAGTTTCATAGGAGTTAAAAAGAAATTATTTAGGCATTTAGTGAGAGTTAAAAAATCAGCCCCAAATCATTTCTTTTCTAACAAAAAGCAGCCTAAAAGATCAAGCTGCAAGCATAGATAAGCAAGCTGGAAGCTTGCATAGGTGAATGCTAGCAGCTGTGACAACAGAAAAGGGATCCCTGGAAGTCAGATATATTCAACACAGAGGTTCCCTCTTCCCTTTTCTTTGTCACCATATGTGCAGGCGACATAGCGCCAGCCAGGTAGAGACTCCATTTGCATAATAAAAAATTATGTTGGGATAGCCAGCCTCTACACGTGCTATGCAAATGACACACCTAGTCCAACCAATCCACTACACCCTATGAAAATCAAACACTGCCTCTTCAAGCTCATCTATAAAACCAATCGCATCTCACCCCAATCCCGGAAACCGGCTCCAGCCCCCTCCCTCTTGGGAGGAAGCTCTCTTCTTTCTTGTGCCTATTAAACTTCTGCTCTTAACCCCACTCCTTGTGTGTCTGCGTTGCCAATTTCCTTGGTATGAGACAAAAACCTCAGTTATTACCCCAGACAAACAACACCACTTCACAAGGACTCAAGTCATTATAAATGAGAAATAGCAGAAACAACACACAACAGAAACGGACCCAAAAGGGAACCAGACATTAGAGTTATCAGAAACAGACTCCAGTATGACTAGGTTTACTGTGTTTAAACAAGTTTGATAATTTGAGAAAATTTTAAAAATCCAGAGAACCAGAAACTATCTCTATTTATGAAGATATTATCAATGAATATATGTTCAATTTTATCAAATAGTTTTATTCATCTATTGAGATAAGCATATAATTTTCTCCTGTTAAATGTGCAAATTATGCTCATTGATCTTGAGTAATAAACCAGACTTACACTGTGGTTTATCTCAAATGGATTGTGACACATTATATATTGTCTTATATACTAGAGAATTGTGTCCTATATATTCTTATACTAAATGGATTGTGGCACAGCATATATTGTGTCCTATATATTACTTATGTCCTATATATTCTTATCCAAATGGACTGTGACACAGTATATTGTATTCTACATAATGATGTTTTTCTGCAAATATTTTATTTAAGATTTTTCACATCTATGTTCATTGATTCAGACTGTAGTGTTCTTGCATTATAATGCTCTTGTAAAGTTTTAGTATTGAGGTGATCTGGCTTCATCAAACCAGATTGGGTATAATCTGATTTTTCCTTTTCTCTGGAAGAGTCTTTGTAATTTTGCCATCGTTTATTCTTAACGGTTAAAAAGAATTCTCTAGACATTGCTAGGTCTGGAAACCTCTTTGTGGGTTTTTTAAAAAAATAACCCTTATATTCTCTCAAACAGAAAAGTAAAGAGATTACACATGTATGAGTTTTCACAAGTTAACAGACTAAGAGGAGTATAACACACAATGTAAGAGTAACGAGGAGAAAAAGTATATTTAGAATTACACTATGTAATTAGAGAAGTCATTCTGATGTAGTTACCACACAAAAGTAGAACTGTGTCATACCTCAAAAAGTTAATTTAACTACAAACATTTGTAGAAGGTAATATCCAATACCTTATTGGGAGAAATTACCATTTAGGTGGGGAAATCATTCCAACTTTTCAATCTTTTCTATATAAAATATCCAAACTTTGAAAGTGAAATGAAGGATCCCTCTATGTCTAGAAAAAGTTGTGGGGTTTTTTTGTTTTTGTTTTTGTTTTGTTTGAGACAGAGTCTCGCTCTGTCACCCAGGCTGGAGTGCAGTGGCCCAATCTCAGCTCACTGCAACCTCTGCCTCCTAGGCTCAAGCGATTCTCCTGCCTCAACCTCCTGAGTGGCTGGGATTATTGGCAGGCACCACCGCACCCAGCTAATTTTGGGTTTTTTTTGTTTGTTTGTTTTTGTTTGTTTTTGAGGAAGAGTTTCACTCTTGTTGCCCAGGCTGGAGTGCAATGGCACGATCTCGGCTCACCGCAATGTCCACCTCCCAGGTTCAAGAGATTCTCCTGCCTCAGCCTTCCAAGTAGCTGGGATTACAGGCATGCACCACCACGCCCAGCTAATTTTTGTATTTTTAGTAGAGAGAGTGTTCCTCCGTGTTGGTCAGGCTGGTCTCGAACTCCTGATCTCAGGTGATCTGCCTGCCTCGGCCTCCCAAAGTGCTGGTATTATAGGCGTGAGCCACCACACCCAGCCTAGAAAAAGTTTTAACAAAATAATTTGACAATATGTTTTAATTCCAAAATATTCATACTCTCTGACTAGGAGTCCAATATTATGGGGATAAGGAAAAATGTACATATATAACACATGAACATGAAAAAAAATGTTTTCAACAATATTTAATGACATTTGAGTTAGGTATATTTATTATAAGTTAAAAGGTCAGGGTACACTATGCAATTAGATTCAGAGTGTTTCTAAAAATTAAACATGCAGACCAGGCACAGTGGCTGATGCCTGTAATTCCAGCCCTTGAGAAGACCAAGGCATGAAGATTGCTTGAGCCAGGAGTTGGAGGTTGTAGTGAACCATGAGCATAACACTGCACTCCCAGCAAAGCAAGACTGTCTCAAAAAAGAAAAAAATGTTAAATATAAATAAGTAATAACAATTTAAAATATGCATGTATACACAAACATACATGCTATCAAAAGACAGGTAACTTTAATGTTCATTAGTGATTTTTTCCCTTTATTTTGTAAATTTATAATCATGAATATGAATAAGCATTGACATCAGGCAAAAATAATTAAACTAAAATTAAACGTTACCCACTTTATTCAAAAACCAATTGCAGAAATTTATATATTGCCAGAGCTTATAATGAATTATAACCAACCTACTAATGGCCAATAGCCTACTGAAAATTGAACTAAGATTTTTTTTTTTTTTTTTTTGAGACAGAATCTCACACTGTTGTCCAGCCTGGAGTGCAGTGCAATGGACTGCTGGTGCAATCATGGCTCACTATAGCCTTGGCCTCCAAAACTCAAGCAAACTTCCCACCTCAGCTTCTGGAGTAGCTGGGACAACAGGCATGCACCACCAAACTCAGATTATTTTTAAATTTGTTTTTTAGAGATAGGGTCTCACTATGTTGCCTACCTAAGCTGGTCTCAAATTCCTGAGCTCATGTGATTCTCCCACCTCAGCCTCCCAAAGTGCTGGGATTATAGGCATGAGCCACAGTATCCAGTCCTAAGGTGTTATACTAAAGATAATTTCTTAGGGTCTTAAAAGTGGAAGACATGAGTATATGCCTCACAGTTCCCAATACTGAGGTATGAGAAAGTGGGATGTCTACACTCATTATTTTATTTTTTTTTATTTATTTACTTTGAGACAGAGTCTCACTCTGTAGCCCAGGTTAGAATCTAGTGGTATGATCTCGGCTCACTGCAACCTCTACCTCCCAGGTTCAAACAATTCTCTGCCTCAGCCTCCTGAGTAGCTGGGATTACAGGCACCTGCCACCATGCTGGGCTGATCTTCGTATTTTTAGTAGAGAGGGGTTTCACCATCTTGGCCACGCTGGTCTTGAACCACTGACCTTATGATCCACCCACCTCAGCCTCCCAAAGTGCTGGCATTACTAGTGTGAGCCACTGCGTCTGGCCTGCACTTGTTATTTTTAAAACATCTTAAGTCCAGTCTCACTCCCTCCAGCAGGTACACAACAAAACACAGACTGAAGGTCACTTTGTTTTTATATAAGCACATAAAAACATAAGAATAGCAAACAGGAGCTGAAAAGTTATTCTCCATTCCATAACTGAAAATGACTCAAAATGATCATAAGCTAAGCTATTGTGATCCATGTGTATGAGACAGAGAAGTTGAAAAGGAGTCTAATACTTGAGATAAAGATCTCATTGTTATATTTTGTGGATAAATTAAGGAGACTCATACTAAAGATGCTTTCTAAATACTCTCTCTTAGCTCTTCATTGAAATAACCATCATAATTTTTTTTTTTTTTTTTTTTTTTTTTTTTTTGAGTCGGAGTTTTACTCATGTTACCCAGGCTAGAGTGCAATGGCGCGATCTCGGCTCACTGCAACCTCCGCCTCCTGGGTTCAGGCAATTCTCCTGCCTCAGCCTCCTGAGTAGCTGGGATCACAGGCACGCACCACCATGCCCAGCTAATGTTTTTGTATTTTTAGTAGAGACGGGTTTCACCATGTTGACCAGGATGGTCTCGATCTCTTGACCTCGTGATCCACCCGCCTCGGCCTCCCAAAGCGCTGGGATTACAGGCTTGAGCCACCGCGCCCGGCCACCATCATAATTTTTTATACACAATTAGAAAAGTGAGCAATCTTTATTAAGATCTCTGTAATTGCTGGGTATGGTAGTGCACACCTATAACCCCAGCACTTTGGGAGGCTGAGATGGGTGAATTGTTTGAGCTCAGAAGTTCAAGAACAGCCTGGGTAACATGGCAAAACCCTGTCTCTACAAACGATACAAAAAATTAGCCGGGCATGGCAGCACGCGCTTGTAGTCCCAGCTACTTGGGAGGCTGAGGTGGGTGTTCACTCCAGCCTAAGCTGTCAGAGGAGACCCTGTCTTAAGAAAAAAAAAAAAGATTTCTGAAGTCTAAAATTCATAGTGCTACAGGCATAAAGACTTAAAGGTTAATTCTCTTTTGGGTGCAAAATACGTAATGCTTCTCTCATCAAACCAAGGAACACATTCTGAAGCACATCATGTAAGCGTCTGTGATCAAATATGAAGTATTTTTGTATTTGTTTTACATAAAACAGTGTGACCTTTGATTCCCACTCTGTGGTTTGCTTTAAACTGTTGTTCTTTTCTCAATGGTTGTGCTTTCTATTACATGCTGTCATTTAGATCCACTCTGTCATTCCTATTATTAGAATTGTTTTGTTATATACTTCACAATTCAAAAGGTTAGTGGTTATGAGAATACCTTATAATCAGCATAAAGTTTACCAGCCATCATCAAAATTAACCCTCATACACATGAAAAAAAAGAGCTCACTTGACAAACATGAAGGGGGCAGCCCCTTGATATGAAAGAATCTTTGAATGTGACAAGGAGCTGACTCAAGTTTTCATAGGGAATAATATTCTTTTCATGAGAAGAAGCCTCAGAAATGTTCAAAGATGCAAAGGGAGGTCAGTGTAGGTAGAATGATGCAAATCACAGAGAACCCAGAAGTCACTGTTTAAAACATGGAAAGCTTCTTCCAAATGTGGTAGTAATTTGATAACAGATTTGAAGCTAGCTAACAAACTTAAAATATTTAAAATTGGAGAAGTACAAGCACTACAATCATTACAATAGAAAATATAATTCAGGAGAGAAATCTGAACAATTACTACACATAATCACAACTCTCTGAGATTTCAGAGGTACTCACTTTAGCAGCACTAATAACTGTGGCAGTGTAAGACTGAATGTTGTCTCCACAGGCTCCACCACGGGACTGATGACATCGAATCAACTGAGAAAAAGAGAGAGAGAAAAACAGAAGGTCATTTCTATTACTCGATTTAACTCTGCAGGCTATTAGGATAGAGCTTATTCACCATGCATAGTGATGGTGATGGGATGGAATGTTTGCATGAGCGTATTTCAGACAAACAGCTAAAAGCGCTGCTGAGACATTTTTACCCCTTTTTATAATCTACTGGTGCCACTCAGGCAGTTTCATGCTCAACTACAGTTTTAATTACAAGATGAATAGTCTTTAAGAATCTATAAACTCTGAAATGGTAGGATTGGGGTCTGATGGCCTTTCCACAAATAAATTTTAAAAACATACTCAAAGGACTTACACATGACTTCCTAACTTAAATCTCTGACATGTTAACAAATTATATGTTTTATCCTGTTAATTCCTCCACAAAGATTATAAAACATAAAAAGTAGACAAAAGATTTTGCCATATTTGCATTTTCAATTGTGTCGACGGAAAAGTGTTACAATTATGTGTAAATCAACTATGACACGTATACTAGCTGTCCACTTCAGAGAGCTTAAGCTTTTCCCATTAGGAATAAAAAAGACATATCCTTATTTGTGGCTGACATGAATAAAGCAAACTGCCAATTTTCAAAGTGAATCCCTACTTTGAGATACATGATTATTTCATATGCTAAGTAATCAACCAGGATTAAATTCACCACTGGTCCTCACTTCCTACATTTAGTAAAAAATGTCATTAGCCAGATTTGTATGTTTAACATTTTTAAAAAACAAAATGACAAGGTTAGAGTATTAGAACCACACATCATGAGTTTTTTAAAACCTTTGGAACTCACAGAGAATCTGTATCTCCCAAAACATAAAAATTAAAAATGCTTTACATAGTTTAAAACCAGATCCTCTGATGAAGACTGATATGTAATTCTTTTATTCTTAATTCAAAATTTTCTTCATCACTGACATTGTTATTTTAAATATCCCTGAAAGCAATAGTAATATATTATAATAGAATGGAAAACTCTTAAAAGTATGATATGATGCAAAGTCAAGATTTTTTTTTTAGGCCATCTGTTATGTCACACTGAATGACTGCTTAAGTAGATTTCAAAAAGAGAAGTGAGGAATTTTCCAAATGATAGGTGGTCATCAAATGTGGTTTCACATAGAGTGATCATTTTAGCAAACAGAATCTTTTTCTCGCTCACTCATTCAACCACAAATACACATTCGAAGGATTATGAAAATTATTCCTCTGCTGCCTCCTGCTGCATGAGCAAGGAAAGAAAGGTTATTGCTTATTCTCTGCTTCTGGCAATTAAAATACTCAAGGACAAACATATAAAAACAAACAACACTCTTACCTTCCTTTCCTTCTTATTTTTTTTTCCCCCCCGGAGGCAGAGTATCACTCTATCACCCAGGCTGGAGTTCAGTCGTATCATTTCAGCTCACTGCAACCTCTGCCCCTCGGGTTGAGGCAATTTTCCTGCCTCAGACTCTCAAGCAGCTGGGATTACAGGCATGCACCACCACACCTGGCTATTTTTTTGTGTGTGTATTTTTAGTAGATATGGGGCTTCGCCATGTTGGTCGGGTTGGTCTCAAACTCCTGACCTCAAGTGATCCATCCACCTTAGCTTTCCAAAGCACTGGGACTACGGGCGTGAGCCACCATGCCTGGTCCTATTCTTACCTTTCAAATTCAACTACAACTGAGTCAGTAGTTCTACATAAAAGTAACTAAGTCAGAAATTTTGGTCTAAAATTTAGAATCATCAGAAAATTACATTTGCATCTTGGTTCAACAAAATTAAAGACAGGTCAGAATTTTCCACAGTGCAAAATTATATCAAATCAACTAGTTTCCAGGAAATATTATTAAGAAAAAGAAAAATAAAAAGTTTCCCAAAGAGCGTATATACTATGTTATTTTTGTGAAAGAAAGGATTGGTCAAGAACCATTTCATGTTCACCTCCTCCACACAGGAGAACCAAAATAATGCATGGAGAGTCACGCTTCAAATACATTGTCCAAGGAAGAAGACTAGAATTCATCAGAGAAGTAACAGGAAACAGCAAAAGTGGATAGGAGAAAGAAGACAGCCTGCTTGGCTAGGATAGGCTGAGAGTGACTTCCTAACACAAGGAAAGGATAAGTAAGAGAACTCCAGCAGCCCACTTCCCCCACCATTGAATCATGCAATCTTAGCCAGAGGAGAGACCCTCAACCCTCCCAAGCCCTGAAACTTAACATAGGGAGATGTTGGGAGACTGCTGAACAGAACTGCTACAGGGAGGGTCCTATACACTTTCTGAGACCTAAGTGGCTATAGCAAGACACCATTGTCTTTTCTTTTTCTTCTTCTTTTTTTTTTTTTTTTTTTAAAGAGACAGGGTCTTACCACATTGCACAGGCTGGAGTGCAGTGGCTATTCACAGTTGCCATCCCACTACTGATCAGCATGGGAATTTTGATCTGCTCTATTTCCAATCTGGGCTGATTCACCTCTCCTTAGACAACCTGGTGGTTCCCCACTCCTGTGAGGTCACCGTATTGATGCTGAACTTAGTGCAGACACCCAGTTGCATAGTGCACTACAGCCCAGAACTCCTGAACTCAAGCAATCTTCCTACCTCTGCCTCCCAAGTAGCTGGAACTACAGGCACAAGCCACCATGACCAGTAAGACACCATCTTCAAACCTAGTTATTGGCAGATGGCATGCTGCGCTGGGGCCTAGCAGTGCTGGGACTGAGATGTTAAAAAAACAAACAAACAAACAGCTCAGAGGCCAGGCACAGTGGCTCACACCCGTAATCCCAACACTTTGGGAGTCCAAGATAGGCGGATCACAAGATCAGGAGTTCAAGACCAGCCTGGCCAACATGGTGAAACCCAGTCTCTACTAAAAATACAAAAATTAGCCAGGCATGGTGGTACATGCCTGTAATCCTAGCTACTCAGGAGGCTGGGGCAAGAGAATTGCTTGAACCTGGAGGTGGAGGTTGCAGTGAGCTGAGATCAGACTACTGCACTCCAGCCCGGACAGTAGAGCAAGACTCAGTCTCAGAGGGAAGAAAAAAAAAAAAAAACCTCAAGCTGTCACTGCTGAAAATAGGGTGTGATCTGGGCACACTCCCGCAGTAGGGGCTGAGAATCAAGTAAAGCATGGGCTGTAGCAGCTACCAATGCAGGAAAGCAAGTGCTACCAGGACAGAGACGAGACATGCATGGGTTGCCACTGAGACTTGGTTGTGAGCTGGGCAGAGGCTACTACAGCCAGGGATGGGGGTTAGACAGGTATATGCCATTGCCACCAGGACTGGGAGGTGAGCCCCACTGGGACTGGGGTGTGAACGAGACACATTTTCTCCACCCACCAGCCTAGCTGTGGCTACTGAGGCCAGACCTAACCTCTCCAGAGGCAGCCACTCTCCCAAGAACTGTTCCTAGGATTACCCTGTTCCCACCCACCATAGCTGGTATCTGTTCTCACTGCTGCAGAGCCTGAGAACAATCCTACCCAGCCTAGTTCTGCCCTCAACCCGCCAAGACAGAACACATAACCCAGGGTCCCTGGATTGCCCAACCCAATCCACTTCTTTGGGTATATAAGCACTACTCTAGGGAGTCTAAAGCTTGGCCTTATCTCCCTACCACTGCCCCCACAGCTGGCACCTACCTGGAAGCTCCAACTACAGGCCTGAAGACTGACTCCTGTAGCCCCAGACCACTGCAGCCACCACCAACACCAACACACACCACCAGGTACAAAAAGAATCATCTTGCCACTGCTACTATTATCACGATGTCACACTGGCTACCCAGGGGCCCAAGACCCAGCCCACCCACATCATTAACCACCGCCACTGCCAGCATCCAAGCAAGCTACCTGGAGGACCAAGAATCAGCCCACTTGTAACCACCAATATAGGTGCCAATGTACATCACTCTGGGGCACAAGGATAGGCATACTTAGCCCAATGCTGCCACCACTGCATACTGATGAACAGCCAACTTGGCATCCCAGTCTCCAGCAAAACTTCACCACAGCCACCACTAATAACCACACCCTAATTCATTAAGTAAATAATAGATACCCCTAATGATGTATACAGCAAAAAAAACAAAAAACAAAAACAAAAAAAAACAGACTACATTACTGTACACACCCAGAATCAAGACCAAGACCAAGTTGCCCTACCCAACCAGTACTATAGATACATCTTCATCCATAAAAAAGTCCTCTATGAAAATAAATGTCAAAATATGAAGAGGTAACTGTTGCACCAGATGTGCAAATATCAATGTAATGATACAGGAAACATGAAAAATGAAGAAAATGTGATGCCTCCAAAGAAACACAATTCTCCAGCTTCAGATTCAATCAAAAAGAAATTTGTGAAATCCCAGACATAGAACTCAGATAATTTAAAACAATCTTGTGAGATACAAGAAAATTCTGAAAAATAATGCAGATATATCAGAAAAACAATTCAGAATATAAATGAGAAATTTACCAGAGCGATTGATATTTTTTAAAAGAATCAAATAGAAATTCTGGCCAAGTACAGTGGCTCATGCCTGTAATCCCAGCACTATGGGAGGTCAAGGTGGGAAGACTCCTTGAGCCAAGAAGTTCAAGACCAGCTTGGGCAACATGGCAAGACCCTATCTCTACTAAAAAAAAAAAAAAATTAGCCTAGTGTGGTGGCGCACACCTGTACACCCAGCTACTCAGTCAGGAAGCCGAGACAGGAGAATCACTTGATCCATGGGGGTCAAGGTTGCAGTGAGCCATGATTGCACCACCGAACTTTAGCTTGGATGACACAGTAAGACCAGTGAGATCCTGTCTCTTAAAAAAAAATTAAATTTTTAAATTTTTTAAACATAAAATATAATAAACATAAAAATTTAAAAAAGAAATTCTGGAAGTGAAGAATATATTGGAGGAAACAGAAAACACATTAGAAAGTTTTAACAATTCACTACATCAGGCAAAAGAGAGAATCTCAGAACTTGAAGATAGATCTTTTAAAAACAATTCTAAAGTTCATATAAAAAAAAAAAAAAAAAAAAGGCCTAAACAGCCAAAGCAGTCCTAAGTAAACAGAACAAATCAGGAAGCATCAAACTATACTATAAGGCTGCGGATTTCAAACTGTACTACAAGGCTGCAGTAACTAAAACAGCATGGTACTGGTATAAAAATAGACAGAGCCTGGGCACAGAGGCACGTGCCTATAATCCCAGCACTTTGGGAGGCTAAAGTGGGTGAATCACGTGACATCAGGCATTCAAGACCAGCCTGGCCAACATGATAAAACTCCATTTCTTGGTGCTTCTCATTTTCTGATAATTTTTCTCTTGTTAAATAAATGTATTAAAAGATATTTTCATAAAATAAAAAAAAAAAAAAAAAAAAAAAAACAAAGAAAAAAAACTCCATTTCTACTAAAAATACAAAAATCAGCCAGGTGTGGTAGCATGTGCCTGCAGTCTCAGCTACTCAGGAGTCTGAGGAGAGAGAATCACTTGAACCCAGGAAGCAGAGGTTGTAGTAAACAGAGATCACAACACTGCCCTCCAGCCTGAGCGACAGAGCAAGACTCTGTCTGAAAAAGAAAAAGATACATAGATCAATAGAACAGAATAGAGAACTGAATAATGTCAGATACTTAAAAGCAACTGATCTTTTTTGTTAACAAAGTTGACAAAAATACAAAAAGGAGAAAGGACACCCTATGCAATAAATGGAGCTGAGAAAATTGGGTAGCCATAGCAAAAGAACGAAACCAGACCCCTCAGCATATACAAACATTAATTCAAGATGGATTGAAGATCTAAATGTAAGACCTGAAACTATAGAAATTCTAGAAGAAAACCTAGAAAAAAAAAAACTCTTCTAAACATTGTCCTAGACGAGGAATTTATGACAAAGACCCCAAAAACAAATGTAACAAAAATAGACAAATGAGGCTTAATTAAACTAAAAAGTTCCTGCACAGCAAAAGAAATAATTGATAAACAGACAAATTACACAAAGGGAGAAAATATTTGTAAATTGTACCTTCAACTGAGAATATACAAGAAACTCAAACAACTGAACACGAAAAGAAACAAACTCCATGAAAAACCCCAAAGGACATAAATAGACATTTCTGAAAAGAAACGTTAAGTGACCAACATAGAAAAAAATGCTCAGCATCACCAATTATCAGAGAAATGCAATTAAAAACCACACCAAGCTATCATCTTACACCAGTGAAAATGGGTTTTTTTGATTTTTTTTTGAGACAGAGTTTTGTTCTTATTGCCCAGGCTGGAGTTCAATGGCACGATCTCAGCTCACTGCAACCTCCACCTCCCAGGTTCAAGCGATTCTACTGCCTCAGCCTGCCAAGTAGCTGGTATTACAGGCATGCTCCACCACACCCAGCTGATTTTCTGTATTTTGAGTAAAGACAGGGTTTCACCATGTTGGCCAGGCTGGTCTCAAACTCCTGACCTCACATAATCCACCAGCCTCAGCCTCCCAAAGTGCTGGGATTATAGGCATGAGTCACAACACCTGGCCGAAAATGGCTATTCTTAAAAAATCAGAAACAGATATTCTATTGAATATGTAAAATATGCATGAATATTTAGAAAAGGGGATCCTTATACACTGTTGGTTGAAATGTAAATTAGTTCAATCTCTATGGAAAACAGTTTGGAGATTTCTCAAAGAACTAAAAATAGAACTACCATGCCACTCAGCAATCCCACCACTGGGTATCTAAAGGAAAAGAAATCATTTTAAAAAGGACCTGTACTTGTATGTTCATTGCAGTGCTAGTCACAATAGCAAAGTCATGGAACCAAACTAAGTGTCTATCAACAGTTGACTGAATAAAGAAAATATGGATATACACACCATGGAATACTATGCAGCCACTGAAAGAATGAAATTGTCCTTTGTGGCAACATGCATGGAGCTGGAGGCCATTATCCTAAGGGAACTAACTCAGAAACATAAAATCAAAAATAGCATGTTCTAACTTATAAATGAGAGCTAAACAATGGGTGCATATGATGATGAAAATGGAAATAATAAGACAGTGGGGACTCCAAAAGGGGGAGGGTGGGAGGCAGCTGATGGTTGAAAAATCACTTACTGGGTACAATGTTGAATATCTGGGTGATAGATATATTAGAAGCCCAATCACCACCCTTACACAATATACCTATGTAATGAACATGCACATGTTCCCCATGAATCTTAAAAGAAAACAAAACCAAAAAAAGATATATTGCTTCTCAAGATTTTATAGTCAAAGAACATTTTCACTGAAGGAGATTGTTACCCCAAAATTCAATTCAATTTTATAATTCCATACTCAGCCCCAAAGCTATAACAATTAGAAACTAATAAATGCTAGCTCTTATGAAAATACTATGTGGCCAGGCACAAAGGCTCACACCTGTAATCCTAAAACACTGGGAGGCTGAGGCAGGCGGATCACAAGGTCAAAAGATCAAGACCATCCTGACCAACATGGTGAAACCCCGTCTCTACTAAAACAATACAAAAATTAGCTGGGTGTGTGGGCACATGCCTGTAGTCCCAGCTACTCGGGAGGCTGAGGCAGGAGAATCACTTGAACCTGGGAGATGGAGGTTTCAGTAAGCTGAGATCATGCCACTGCACTCCAGCCTGGCAGCAACAGAGCAAGACTCCATCTCAAAAAAAAAAAAGAAAGAAAGAAGGAAAAAAGAAAATTCTATGTAAGGACATTTATCTAGAAATATTTTCAAGATGAAGGTACATTTGATTCACAAACTCCTTGTGAAGGCCACTACGTTGTCTGGTCTCTGTACATGACACCAGATATTAACACGTGTTCCTGAAGAGGGAAAACAATTGGTGTCTATTCAGGCTATGCATCTATGAAGGGAGTTCTTTCCCCTCAAAGACAATATGTAACTATTCACATATTATCTCCACTTTCAAATGGGCAGTTCCCCACATGTAAGAACAGATCCACAAGACCCAAGGGACAATTTATACATCTTTGTCTTGGGTGTCTCCAGCACTCAAGGGAAATGCTTTACAGACATAAACGTTAGAAGATACCATTGTGTCACTGCACTTACTTGTATTCCTCCAGTCTTGTTAGAAAAAAGTAATTTGAAAGAGCTATTTTTACAAGATATACCAGAAAATCAAGAGAAAGGACAGGATGGAATATAAACACAGAATTCAGTAAGATGTAACATATCTAGTAGTTGCAGACAGACTCATGATTAAGATCTCAAAGTATTTATCCAGAAAAATAATTTTCTTCAGTAGTTTCTTGGTTTTTGCACATTCCAGAGGCTAGAGATCTAGTAGCCCTGTGGCTTTATCAAATAATTACTTTACTTACCACATCCTAACTTTGTCAAGAACTGAACTATTTCATACTAATTTATATGAATCCCAAGATACACTCATTAACTATGCAACCAGCAAAAATATAACCAAAGATAGTAGTCTTCTTTGAAATCTGTAATATGTTTTAGATTTCATTCTACATTCACATGCAGGGTAATTAAATTAAAAGAATTTTATCTTTCTTTTTGAAGACTCAAATTTACCTTTTCCCTTGAATTTGACATAAATAAAATTCGTAGTATATAAATACAATATCTTCACTTAATACGATGACCTTAATAAATAAATTGATAAATAATTGAAAAAGGCAACAGAAGGTGAACATATATGATGTAATTATTAAAACAAATGGCTGGGGCCAGGAGTGGTAACTCACACCTGTAATCCCAGCACTTTGAGAGGCTGAGGTGAGTGGATCACAAGGTCAAGAGATCAAGACCATCCTGGCCAACATGGTGAAACCCCATCTCTACTAAAAATATAAAAATTAGCCAAGCATGGCGGCATATGCCTGTAGTCCCGGCTACTCGGGAGGCTGAGGCAGGAGAATCACTTGAACCCAGAAGGCGGAGGTTGCAGTGAGCCAAGACAGTGCCACTGTACTCCAGACTAATGACAGAGCGAGATTCCGAATCAAAAAAAAAAAAAAAAAAAAAGGTTGAACCCTTGTTTAGATCTAGTTGTTAGCATATGGTTAATGTCAATTAAATTATTCTATACCCATGCTTCTAATCTACCAATGAAGATAGAAGTTACCTCTGTCTCCTGATTTCTAAAAAGTCAGAAACTACTTTCCTTAATATCACTACTGGGGTAATCTCAATGCTGCGCTCTAGTATTAATTAACAGGATAAAGTTCTCTCTATAAAACCAAGCTTAAAAAATTAAGGTTCTACAGAGTCTGGACTTAATGACAACTGTCAAATATTTATGAATCCTTAAAAGAATTCAATTATTAGTTGCACAATTAAAACCAAACCAAAGCAAATGAACTAGTAAGTTAAACATCTATTATTGGTAATCACCTATGGAGCATAGGTATTTATTATGGAAAGTACTTCAACACTTACTTCATTACAAATAATCCAAACACAGGCCACATCTTACCTTGTTTTCTGCATAAGCAAGCCAGCGGCTCCCAAGAGCAATAGGATTCATGTTTGGCCCTGGACATGGATAGCAGCCTGAAAAATTTCAAATGGCACTATTGAGAAATTTCTTAATAACTTTTCTACTGGTACATCATATGTCGATGCCAGAAAAATAGAAAAATCACATGCTTATATGTTTTCAAGTCTCGCATAAAATTCCCATAATACTCGTCATTATTTTGATAGTAAATAAGCTTCATTTTTTTCCTCCTCTGTTTCGTTTCTTTGGATTTTTAACTATGTCCCAATAAGAAACAAATCTGGAAAGAACTGGTCATCACTTTTGGCAAACACTGGGCATTTTATACAGTTATTCCTAAACAAGAGAATGAAGCTAAGAGGGGCCATTTTAAGTCTAACATTCATAAATCAAGGAAGGATTTTGGGAGAGGAGAGACGGAGGATATGATGGGTTCAGGAATGTAAGGGCAAAAGATAAATAAGACTATCAGACATGATACTGTGATGGGGAGAAAAAAGTATTTAACCACATTGAGGCCAATGAGGACAAGTAACTCTGAACAGCTGCCTCCACAGAAAGATGATGGGGAACTGCATAATCTTTTGTATTTATATTTCACTCAATATCATTCTTCTTGCTTCCAGTTTTAGACAATAAAAACAGTTAATTGTTCTACGACATATATTTACCACTTATTTTCTATCTTCCTCCAGCTTGATTAGAAGGATATGTAAATTGAAGAATTTGTCTGTTTTCTTCACCGCTCAATCTCCCCTACACGCCACTCGACAGTCATTCTGACCATGGTCCTGTTGCTGTGCTCAAAAGCACTAAAGAAGCATACCTTACTGTTGCTTCCAGTAAACAGCCATTTTCAGCTCGGCTCCCTAAATTGCCATCTATTCTGAATCATCATCTTAAAAAGAAAATAATAAACTTATAGAAGAGACAGACTCCAAAAGAAAGTCTACATAAATAAAAGCTTTCTCATTTTATTGCTCACTTTTTAAAAAACTGCTCATTTATGCTACTGTTTGAAGGAGTATGTTTGCATTGCTTTGGGTTTCTGGAAAACAGACCTCAGGTTAACTGTAATATTACTATTATCTACTGAATGCATATTATATAAACGTATATAGAATAAAAATACACTAAAAATTATACAAAGGCAACATACTCTACTATAAATTGTGTAGTATTTACACAATAAATTACTCGAGTAAATTAATCTTATTCATGAAAAATATACTTTTATACATGAGTCTGTATAATATATTCCTTAAAAATTTTAGAGCTGGAGAAATGAAAATAAATATCATCAAAAAAGTTTTCCTCCTTTTAAAACTTGTCATGAAAACAGAACCAAGTACCTGTGAACTGCAGTGTCACATTAGACACAGCTCATCCCGAATTAGCTTTAAAACTAAATAATCTGACTCTCAATCAATTCTGATAACCACTTTAACCTCACACATATAAAAGGATCCTAAGAGAAAATGCAGTTTACAATTCTTCATTTCATCTTTTGAGTCCATATTTTTAGAGTTCAGTGGACCTCAAGAATTACATTGTATTTTAATGAAAGCAACTGTTTTCCTGCTTACCAAAAGAATGCTTTAGAGCTAGAATCAGCAGAACATAAGTCACTCAGCACTATCCCAACCTTACAAGCATGACTCCTTGAAAGATTAACCTTTGCCTCTAGGTAAACTCTGAAAACAAGTAGTTGGGCAGACATGAATCTCTATAATACTAGGCCTAATTCTAACACATTTACAATGTTTTTGAACAAAGAAAGAGAGAACTGGATGGTAAAAGAACTCATTTCCCAATTTTAATGAAGGTAAAAAATTTTTAGAAGCACACTGTATTTTTCCATTACTAAAAAAGTAATTAAGAAGGCACACAAGCATGACGTAATTTTAGATGGTATCCTCCCAGAAAGTGTTCCTAATGGAGAGGTGACCTGAACTTGTTTCAAAAAACAAAAAACTGAACTACTCTCTGTGACACTTTGCCTTATTTTTCCTGGCAAGGACAAAGTAAAAATTTCAGCCCTTTAAATTTAAAAAAAAAAAAAGGTATTTACATTTATAGTCAACTGATTTTCAACAAGAATTCCAAGACAAGTCAAAGGTTAAAGAAGTCTTTTTAACAATTGGTGCTGGGTCTACTGGATATCCAAATGCAAAGGCATCTGGATGGGGATGAAGCTGGACCTCTATCTTAATCACATAGAAAAATGGATCAAAGGCTTAAATATAAAAGTTAAATAATTAAATCCTTAGAACAAAATATTGTAAATTTTCATGACCGTGGATTAGGCAATGATTTCTTATATATGACAACAGAAAAATTGGACTTTATCAAAACAAATGCAAACTTAACATGCTTTAAAGGACACCATCAAGAAAGTGAAAAGACAACCTAAAGAATGAGGAAACATTTTTTGCAAAAAATGTATCTGATAAGTGACTTATATCTACAATATAAAATAACTATTACCATTCAACATTGAAAAGTCAAATAATTCAATTTAAAAATGGACAAAGATATACAAATGGCAAATAAGCACATTAAAAATGGTCAGTGCCCACCAGGCACAGTGGCTCACACCTGTAATCCCAGCACTTTGGGAGGCCAAAGTGGGTGGCTGACAAGGTCAGGAGATTGAGACCATCCTGGCTAACATAGTGAAACCCCATCTCTACTAAAAATACAAAAAAATTAGATGGGCATGGTGGCACACACCTGTAGTCTGAGTCTCAGCTACTCAGGAGGCTGAGGCAGGAAAATTGCTTGAACCCAGGAGGTGGAGGCTGCAGTGAGCTGAGATTGTGCCCCTGCACGCCAGCCTGGGCAACAGAGGAGACTTCATCTCAGAAAAAAAAAATGGTCGCTGCCGGCCAGGCGCAGTGTCTCGCGCCTGTAATCCCAACACTTTGGTAGACCAAGGTAGGCGGATCATGAGGTCAGGAGTCCGAGATCAGCCTAACATAGTGAAACCCTGTCTCTACTAAAAATACAAAAATTAGCTGGGAGTGGTGGCACGCAGTTGTAATCCCAGCTACTCAGGCAGAAGAATCACCTGAATCTGGGAGGCAGAGGTTGCAGTAAGCTGAGATTGCCCCAGCCTGGGTGAAGAGCAAGACTCCATCTCAAAAAAAAAGTCAGTGTCATTAGCCATCAAAGAAATTCAAATCAAAATTACAAAAACTTATAGCCAAATGACCATACCCAAGAGAACATATAATGTTCACCAAAAAACTTGCACACTAGTGTTCATACAAGCATTATCTACAACAGCCTAAAAGTAGAAACCAACCAAATATCTATCAACTAATGATCAGATAAAATGTGGCATATATATGCAATGAAATATAGGAAAAGAAAGGAAAACCTGATAGATACTGGACGGTGGAGAAACACTGATTATCAGTGAAAGACACTAGTCATGAAAGACCACATATTGTATGATGTCCAAAAAAGATTATGAACATCTTCCCCAGAAAAACATACAAGCACATAAAATATTAAATATCATTTCAGAGATTTGTTTAACCATCACACAGCTGATTAATGACCCTCTTAAGGTTTTATGAGCTTTGAGTTTAAAACTCCTATTTTATTGTTGGTTTATTTTTCATGTATATGAAGCATACCATGAATTTCAGAGTACTGCCATTCTAAGACTCAGTGGGTGAGAATTGTGCGCAGAGAATAAGTCACACGTTAGTTCACTGCACACATATTCCTTGAGTGTCCACTATGTATCCTGCACCAGCACGTGCCCTGAAAACATCATAGTGACCTTGTCCATGTTATGCGGAACCCAGAAAAACAAAGATAGGTTTAACTTTTAATGTAAGCTGAACTTAGAACTCAGACTAACCTAGTGCTGAATTCTCATAAATATCACAAACTTGTTTCTTCACATAAAAGCAAAGCTCCTCTTTCAAAAATTAAAGATAATTTTGCATTTTAAAGTAAAATTTGCATTTCCATTTGTTCTATTTATTATTCATCATTAATATAAAAGAACACACTAAAACCAAGAAATAACACAAAGATTGTAAGAAATAATTTTTCCTCTTCCAAGTAAATACAGAGGCCAATGGAACAAGATTGCCTACTGTATACTCCTTTGATCTCTCAGGAGACTTCATATCTACCTTTCAATTTAAGGATACTGAAAATGACTGCTAATGACATCTATCAGTCTTTGTCTTTTGTTTTCCTAATCATACCTGGTTTTGGATTTCCACATCAGACAGCTGCTCAAGGCGACTTTTTCTTTATATTGAAATACAAAGGTGTCTCCTTTCTCATCATATTGGATGTGTTCCATTAACAGTCCTCTATCAGCTCTCTTTACCTGTTCCCTCCACACTTTGGCACAAATTCCCATGATGCTTGATCTGATGGACACAGCTGTCTCTACTTATTTTACAGTCCTTTCATTGTATTCGTATATAACCAATGCACTAAGAAGGTAGTATGCAAAAGCTTTTCAAACTATTTTAGAAGATAACTGCTTGCATGATCAAAACAACACCCTCATTAAGTAGAAATCTTGTCACTCGACATGGGCTATGGTCCTACTTTAAGAACTAGGTACCAATCAATGGAGAAAAACTATGTGCTACAGGCAAATGAACTACCACAGATGCTATCTCAGTATGCCCTGTCCCACTCGCTCCCTATATCCCAATAATCTGTCCTCCAATCTCTGTATCCTATACCTTTCAGTCTAATGGGCAAAACCAGCTTACAAGCATGGGATTAACCTGACAAAAGTTTCGGTCTGTATAAAGGAACAGGGAGAAGATGGAGAAACTGGAGGAAAATAAGATTCTTTCAAGTTTGAAGTGACACCCTTTGTTCCTTAATTTCAAAAATCCAGTCATGGTGAATTTTGTTCGAAATATTGATATAAATCACTTTAGAAGAAGCTGTAATTTCAAAGAAAAGCAGCCAAGTTCTTTCATTCAAATATTTGCAGAATATAATCAATCTTACCAACTTAAAATCATATATCAGATACATAAATTTGACCCCAAGACTTTTCAAGTAAAATAATTTGTAACTAAGAATGACATATTTCCTAATGGAAGTATGAAATAAAATACATTACTACTATTGGTAAGGGTATCTGTAGATGAACAGGTAAAGGAGACCTGTAGTGAAATGCTACATCAAATTGTATCCAGAGTATAAAGAAAGAAATCACAAACATATGCTGCTGTTGCTTTCTGAATTTTTTCATATTAAGTATGTATTGAAATATAATATACATGTAAAATTACCCAAATCAACAAAGTGAACACATATTGAACACATACCAACCAAACAAAAAAAAGACATTATAGGCTCCCCAAAGCACCCTCTTATACTCCTTCCCTTTCAATCACTATTCTTCCCAAGGATATGCACTATCCTACTTTCTGACAACCATGTTAAAATTAAGAACATCTTCCCTAAAAGACCTTACTGGCTGGGCATGGTGGCTCATGCCTGTAATTCTAGCACTTTGGAAGGCCAAGGCAGATGGATCACCTGAGCTCAGGATTTCTAGACCAGCCTGGTCAACATGGTAAAACCCCATCTCTACTAAAAATACAAAAATTAGCCAGGCGTAGTGGAGCATGCCTGTAATCCCAGCTACTTAGGAAGCTGAGACAGGAGAATTGCTTGAGCCCAGGAGGCAGAGGCTGCAGTGAGCCAAGATCATGCCACTGCACTCCAGACTGGGCAAAAGAATAAGATTCCATCTCAAAAAATAAATAAATAAATAAATAAATAAAAGACATTACTGGGCTTATATACATAGTTTGTTACACTTATTTCCAACATTTATTCCCAAAAATGACAGAATGTACTTTGATTTACTACTCTTTTTTCAACATTTTAACCATTAAGTAACACCCATTTCAGATTTTATGAAATCCACACTGAATAGATTTTAAGGAATCCCCAACCCATGAGAGCCGTTATACAAACATTACTATGAGAGAATAAGTGATGGGTCAGGAATTACTGAATATTCATCACTGTGGACCTCCAGCCACTTGACCAGGACTTAATTAAAAGCTGCATGCCACTTTTAAAGTACCTTTCTATGGTACCAGAAACACTGCTGACCCCTCTAGATTTCTTCCTGTTGTGAAGATTCACAGGATACAAGAAAGACAAATGCTTTTAACAAAGCTTGTTTCCTCTATTCAGTGGTCCAGTAATTCAGGGGGATGTATACAGGAATACATGGCAAAGATGTCCCAAAAAGATATTAAGGAAAAAGGAAAGCCCAAAATTCAAAACAGAGTGCTAACAACTCAGTCTGCTGTTCACTTTTATCAAATTTGACTTATATTTTGTGCTTACTAAAAGTTTGCGAAATAGAAGATCTCATTTTCAAAGAGGAAATCCTTTAGATGGACAGGAAAGGTACTCAAGAGCTGATGCCTATAAAGACATAATTTTCTAACAAACTCATTCTTTACAAAATTTCTGTATTTACCCCAATGTGATTTGTAAGAGAAAAATTTCATTCATATATGCATATATATGTGTGTGTGTGTGTATATATATTCATTGCTTAAAATATTCACCAAACACTTTTAATTTGCAACTCAGACCTATAAAGATCTGTACTAATCCTACATAAATAATTTTCTTCCTCATCTGATAACTGTTGACAGAGTAGCACTACGTTTTCAGATATACTATTAACACAAACATTTTTGTTACCTAAGCGTTCTGAAAAAGAACTACTTGTGCTTTGAAACCAGAACCCCTAATTTTGATGAATGTATTCACCTTAAGTGAATTGGGTTTATTATGAAAAGAACAACAAAAAGTATCATTAATATTTTTATGTTGGCAAGAACATAACAGACACATACGCCTTGCATGATATAACCTTATATCATCAATCCAAAACAAACTGAGTACTCTTCCCCCAATGAGATTACTGTCTAGTGGCAAACAGATACAAAATGTATACAAGACAGAATGTAAGTGCCTTAAAAGACACAGAGATTACATACTACAAAAGCATTCCCAAAGGGTGTTAGGTAACAAATGAAGTCTGTTATCAAATAAACACGGGAAATAAAGAAACATATTAAATAAATTTAAAAAGACAAAATAGTAATCACCATTGCCAGTCTCAAGAGAAGGTAGCATTTCCTAAGCATATTTGACCAGGGCATCCTGATTTGCATAGTATGTTGAAAATCTAATAATGTTCTGCAGACAGAGAGTGGGAATTGTTATCTTTAGGAGATTTAAAAAGAGAAGTTACTGTAAGCTAAGGGGCTCAAGAAAGACTTCATGTAAGAATTACTATCTACACTGGGCCCAGAAAGATATATAGGATTAAAACATCGTAAGAGGGGGTATTAGTGAAAAGTTCATTCCAGTCAAGAAGACAAAGGAAAAATGTATCTCCAACAAAATGAGAATAATGAGTGGTTCAAATTAAATATGACATAAGAAGCATCGAAATTGAGTTGTAGAAAAGATTTAGCAAGGATGCTCATAAAGTAGGTTTTGGTGCACCAAAAACTTTGGGAGTTTCATTGGTAGTAAATGGACAAGATAACCATATATCTGTGTTCACTTTGGACTTTACATATGTTGATCAGAGTTAAGTCCAGTGGCAACTACGCAAATCAAAAGACTGCAGTTTGGATGATAATTATATAATCACTTGGTAATTTTTCTAAGTTCTCATCTTTCAGATGTCCATAATAAATATGTACAAATTAAATTCTATAATGTCTGCAATAGGCTTCAAAATAATTCAGAAAGGGGTATAAATGAAAATGATTGTCCATTATTTGATAGCTGTTGAAACTAGATAATAAATGCATGGGTGTTTTTAATATGACTTTTCTAGTTATATACATGTATGTGTTTCCCCAAATAAAAAGTTATTGTATATGGTCTTTACAGGAAAATAAATGGCATATCTGTGGCACTAAAAATGTAATTAAGATACAATATTTTTGCCATAGCACATGTTTACATAATAAGCCAAATTACTGAATATTGAAGACATTTATATATTTAAAATACATTTAACCACTTTAAGATGGCTAAAAATATACTTTTTCCTTCCAGAACTTTTAATTTCAAATAGCAATAAAAACTAAGAAGAATACATCCTCTATTCTCTCTTCCGCTTAAAACTTTGTTTTCACTCTTATCTCCGTCACATATGTTTTGAGAAGTTATAGTAAAATTGGTAATATGAAATTGCTAAATTGCTTTCTTTGAAAATATGCCAACCTCTATACTGATTCTGTCCATGTATTTTTTCCAAGGCTTTATATATTTACATTTTGTTTCATCATACAGAAAATCTGTACGTTGGCCCAAATGAGGACTTGCCACAAATTCTATTACAAAATCTCAAACAGCCAAAACTCCCACTGAAAAGCTGCAAATACTCTCAAATTACAAACACAAACAAAATTTTTAAAGGAAATTCTCCTTACAGTCTTATAGGTACATTTTTCCTTTGTCTTCTTGACTGGAATGGCCTTTTCACTAATACCCCTTTCTCCTTATGATGTTTAAATCCTATATATCTTTCTTGGCCCACTGTAGATAGTAATTCTTCACATGAAGTCTTCTTGACCCCCTTAGCTTACAGCAACTTCTCCTTTTAAATCTCCTAAAGATAACATTTCCCACTGTTTAAACTAAAATATGTTTATTTAACAGTATTGAAGGTTTTAAAACATTCTTTTAAAATGTAAGTCCATACTTGAAAAATATGTATTTTTTTTCACCTTTTGGTTAAATGACAGATACTCATGTTAGTAGAAACAAATTTTGCTCATATGTAAAGGTAAAATGTACAAGATAAAAGTATGGTATGTTAAGCAATTTAACAACTGCTTTGAAAGCATGAAATAGCTACATGAAACTAAATCACAATTTCTCAAGGAGAGTATGTAAGGAGAAAGGTAACCTACAACAAAGCTATGAAGAAAATGTGTTAGAAAGTTGAAAATATATATCATACAATTATATTACTCAATGAGGACATCCACAGAATCACAATTACCAAAACTGAAAACATTAAATACTGTTGAGATATTTACAGTTAGTTTTCTGATTGTGTCAAGTAAGTTGTATAAACCCAAATGCATATCAAGGGGAAAAAAATTTGGTACATACTTGTGACAAAGAATTTCTTTGTGAAAGTACAGCTATCAAAGGCAGCAATTTTCTCCTGCAAGACTACGACAAGAATCCTAAAATTAGAAGTAAAAAAAAAATACAGAAAGAAAAAAAGTGAATGTGAAATTCAATAAGTGGAATCAGAAATGCATTATATCATCTAGATGAAAACAAATGCCTATTAATGCAATTTGAAAATTAAGCATTTCCTATAATATTTAGGCTAGGAATTTCTGCCTCTTAAAATGTAAAAATATAAACCAAAAAGAATCCTATATATAAGTAAGACAGAGATGAGTAGAAGACAAGTCATGAAAGAAAAAACTACCACCTCAAAAAATGTTTGTCTTTTAATGAAGTTTTGTTTTGGCCAGGTGTAGTGGCTCATGCCTATAATCCCAACATTCCTGGAGGCTGAGGCAGGAGGATCACTTGAGACCAGGAGGTCAAGACCAGCCTGGGCAACATAGGAAGACCCTGTCTCTATAAAAAATAAAAATAAAATAAATTAGCCAGATGTGGTGGTATGAGCCTGTAGTCCTAGCTACTCAGGAGGCTGAAGCAGGAGGATCACTTGAGCCCGGGAGGTCAAGACTGCAGGAAGCTATGATTGTACCACTGCACTCTAGCCTGGGCAAGATCTCGTCTCTAAAAATATATATGCATAAAGTTTTGTTTTCATTTATTTTTGAATTGAGTAAATCTACATTAAGAATGGATAACATTAAGCACAGCACAGTGTTGCATGAGTGTGATCCCAGCTACTCAGGAGGCTGAGGCAGGAGGATCACTTGAGCCCAGGAGATTGAGACCAGCCTGGGCAACATAGTGAGGTGTTGTCTCGAAAAGAAATGGAAAAAAAAAAGGATAAAAAAGATAGTAAATTGTTGGCTATCTACTAAAAGTGTTTCCCAGTGATGTTTTAGTCATGGTATTAAACATAAAATGGATTTATGTAACCTATCACTTTAAGTCTAAATGACTGATACATATAAATCTAAGACAACTGCTACTCAGTGTAAACAGGTCATTTCTGATGACTCAATATAGTAAAATTCACTAAGAATCTGTAAAAGCAGTATTTTTCCCAATGCCCAAGATTTATAAATAATCAGAAAATAATTTAGTTATAAACACATTATTAAAGCAAAATTTCTAAAATATATCCAAAACCACTACTTTATGTTGTGTTGTTCCTTTCAGGACATTAATATAAATAGCCAAGCTTAATATTTACTTCAAAAAATCAAATAAAGATGATAATTGTTAATAAATATTTAACAAACTAATAGCTTATTTTTCCAACTTGGAGGCTGGTAAATCTGGGCAACAGATGCTAATATGAGTAAGAAAAAAACAAAAAAATGTGTTATTTAATATGCGTGCTTTGTTAATTTTGTTCATTTTTTTTTTAATTGTACTTTAGGTTCTGGGGTACACGTGTAGATCATGCAGGGCTGTTGCACAGGTACTTACATGGCAAGGTGGTTTGCTGCCTCCATCCCTCCATCACCTATATCTGGCATTTCTCCCCATGTTATCCCTCCCCAACCTCCCTATCACACACTGTCCCTCCCCTAGTCCTGCCCCAACAGACCCCAGTGTGTGATGCTCCCCTCCCTGTGTCCATGTGTTCTCATTGTTCAACACCTGCCTATGAGTGAGAACATGTGGTGTTTGATTTTTTTGTTCTTGTGTCAGTTTGCTGAGAATGATGGTTTCCAGATTCATCCATGTCCCTACAAAGGACACGAACTCATCATTTTTTATGGCTGTGTAGTATTCCATGGTGTATATGTGCAACATTTTCCTTGTCCAGTCTGTCATTAATGGGCATTTGGGTTGGTTCCAGGTCTTTGCTATTGTAAACAGTGTTGCAATGAACATGCGTGTGCATGTAACTTTATGACAGAACGATTTGTAATCCTTTGGGAATGTACCCAGTAATGGGATTGCTGGGTCAAATGGAATTTCTATTTCTAGAGCCTTTAGGAACTGCCACTCCCAGGAGTGTAAATTAGCTCAACCACTGTGGAAGATACTGTGGCAATTTTGTTCATTTTTAAAAACAGAACAATTTAATTTACTGATGCAGAATAATTCTAATGAGTGACTACTGTTAAATCCTTGTGATTTTTTTTTCTAGCTGGGCCTGTTAAAACCTTTTCTAGGCCGGGCGTGGTGGCTCACGCCTGTAATCCCAACACTTTGGGAGGCCAAGGTGGGAAGATTTAGATGAGGTATCTAAGGGCTAAAGATCAAGACATTTACCATCCTAGGGCTTCAGTTTGCTCAAATGGAAAAGGAAAGTGCTAAGTGATAGAAGAGTCTTAAGGTTCCTTTCTCCTCTAATGTTCTGTGATTAATTTGTCATTAGCACTAGAAGTCAGATAGAAGTTCAAGATAGATTTGAATATTTTCCCACCAACTAAATGAAATAAACGTTAAGGATAAAAATCAGCCTAGTCCCTATTTTAGTGCCATTGTGAAGTATGAAGGAATAAAAAATATTTTAAATCATTTTTTATAGTTCAGGAACATGATTTTCAAAAGTTTTGGTGGGTTCGTAAAGCAAAATTACATTTCACATCATAAATCAGCATATACATCATACATATAAAAAGCTGTATTAGGCCGGGCGCGATGGCTCACGCCTGTAATCCCAGCACTTTGGGAGGCCGAGGCGGATGGATCATGAGGTCAAGAGATTGAGACCATCCTGGTCAACATGGTGAAACCCCGTCTCTACTAAAAATACAAAAAATCAGCTGGGCATGGTGGCGCATGCCTGTAATCCCAGCTACTCAGGAGGCTGAGGCAGGAGAATTGTCTGAACCCAGGACGCGGAGGTTGCGGTGAGCCAAGATTGCGCCATTGCACTCCAGCCTGGGTAACAAGAGTGAAACTCCGTCTCAAAAAAAAAAAAAAAAAAAAATTGTATTAAAAGATTTCTCAAAACAATACTTAACTGTTTTAAGTTTGCTCTGATACTTTCTATTTATTTCCATTTTGTTTTACAAATGCTCATTGTAACTCACTAAACTGAATTCACAGTCCCCTAATGGATCAAGACTACAAGTCTGAATACAATCATCAAGAAATCGTAGTGCTATTCCACTGAACAGAATTCAGAAGGTGTTTCCTTGAGATTTTTAAAAATAAATCTAAGTTAGTCATTGAAATTGGTAAAGTTCTCCATGCCAAGGAGAGCATGTTTCTTATTTTATACGAGAAACATATGAAAAAATCCTTACCGTTTATTGCAATGAAGATCATAAATAGGTGTCTTAAACTGAATGGACTTGACCATCTCCCCAGTACGAAGTGAATACAGATCCACACAACAGTATGGTGGGCTTGTGCTAAAAAAGAAAAATGCCATTATTTTTTAAAAGAAGACCAATAATCTCTACATTTTCTTATTAACGTAATATTTGAACCTCTGATTAACAAGATATTAGTAAACTGATTCACAACTTACCCCAAAAATGATCATAATATATCCTTTATATTATGTCAACTTAGGAATGCAAAATTTGGCAAAGAAAAAATATCACCCACCAAATTAGTACTACACGGAAGAAAAATTATGTGATTAGGCCAGGCGAGATCACTCATGCCTACAATTGCAGCAGTTTGGGAGGTCGAGGTGGGCGGATCACAAGGTCAGGAGTTCTAGACCAGCCTGGCCAACATGGTGGAACCCTGTCTCTACTTAAAAAAATACAAAAATTAGCCAGGTGTGGTGGTGCATGCCTATAATCCTGTCTACTGTGAGGCTGAGGCAGGAGAATCACTTGAACCCAGGAGGTGGAGGTTGCAGTCAGCCAAGATCACGCCACTACACTCCAGCCTGGACAACAGAGCAAGACTCCATCTCAAAAAAAAAATAATAATAAATAAGAAAAATGGTATGATTACACCAATAAATATAGAAAATAATCTGATAAACTTCCAAGTCTATTCATAAGAAACATTTCCTTAAAATGATAAAGGGTACCAACCTTAAAACTAACAAAAGTTGGCGAACACTCATAAAATATGAAAAAGTTTGACCCTAAAAGCAGGATGTAGAAAAAAACGCTCATTATCACAATTTCTATTCAACATCATATGGAAGGTCTTATGCATGTCAAGAAAAGTAATTACTAGAAGGAAGAAATAAATCTGTCATTATTTGCTAAAAACTTGATTGTGTAAAAGCCAAAAATACCAATCTGTATGTAGAAATATATGTCATCTGTGCATAAACACACACACAAACACAAACACACACACACAGAGCCATATTCACAATAAAGACAAACTGTTAGAATATATGGATTTATCAAGGCTACTAAAGTATAACATACAAACATCAGGTATATTTTAATAAATTGAGAACAATTAGTAAAATTTTAACCCTTGAATATTTTGGAACAAATCTAAGGAAACATTTGTAACATATGTACACAAGAAATAAAATGGTTTAAAAAAAATACCTATGTAAGCTGGGTGGCTCATCACTATAATCCCAGCACTTTGGGAGACGATGCAGGCAGATCACTTGAGGTCAGTAGTTTCAGACCAGCCTGGCCAACATGGTGACACCCTGTCTCTACTTAAAAATATAAAAATTAACTAGGTGTGGTGGCAAGCACCTGTAATTCCAGCTACTAGGCAGGCTGAAGCAGGAGAATTGCTTGAACCTAGGAGGTGGAGTTGCCATGAGCCAAGATTGTGCCACTGCACTCCAGCCTGTGAGACAGAGTGAAACTCTGTCTCAAAAAAAAAAAAAAAAAAAAAAAACTAAAAGTAAAAAACCTATGTAAAAGCAAATAACATGGCCTAAAAGACTCTCTAAATTGATAGTTTAAAACCTCAGCAAAAATATACCAGAAATGAGATCTCATTCTAGAACATATGTGGAAATGCATTCCATATGATTAAGACTTATTGCAAAGATATAATAAAGAAAAAACCGTGTTCTAGACACAGGGACAGACAAAGAAACCAATGTTTCCAATTTAAGAAAGTTTTAAAAGAGCAGCTAGTTAAATTCAATAAAAGGAAATAAAAAATAAGGAATAAATAAGGAATAAGGAAATAAAAATGCAACAAGAATTCGATAAAACGAGTAAGCAATGAGGAGAAATCACTAAAGCTAAAATTTTGTTTTTTTAAAGATAATAAAATCAATAACTCTAGTCAAAGTGTTAAAAAAAATTACAGAAGGAACAAATAAGTAATATAATTAAAAAATGGAATATTCTGATAACACAGACAAATTCCTTAAAATGTACAAACTGCCACAACCAATCTACACAGGACAATTTGAATAGCCCAGTATCTAAAAAGAAATTGAATTCAAAACTTCTTGTAAAGAAAATCCTCAAAAATGCCTTCATCTCTAAGCTCTATAGATTAATCAAACAAAAAATTATACCTATCACACACAAACTGTTTCATAAGGTAGAAGAGTCACTTTCCAACATATTTTATAAGGTCAGCAGCACACATCCAAAAACTAAATAAATATATTGCAAGAAAATAAAAGATATGCTTGTATATCTATATGTCTCATAAATATATGTCCAAAACTCCTTAAGAAAATATTAGCAAATAAAATTGAGCAATACAAAACCAGGTGAAGTTTATCGCAGGAATGCAAGGCTGGTTTACTACAGAATATCTATTAATGTAATTCACCATATTCACAGGAAAAGGGGAAAACCACTATGATTACTGTCACATTATAAAGATACAGATGTGGCATTTTTAGGAATAAAAATGCAACACGCTTTTCAAGAGAAAAACACTGAACAAACCATAATCAGAATTAGAACCTGATAAAATGCATTGATAAAAAAAATCGATAGATGTAAGAATAAACACCTTCCCCGTAAGGTCCAGAACAAGGCAAAATTTTCTGATCTTATCACTCCTATTCAACATTGTATAAGAAATGTTAGCCAGTGCAATAAGTACAGGCAAATAAATCTAGACCATCTGGATTGTAAAGGTAGAAATAAAGCCATCACAGATAACATTATCTATTTACAGATAACATTATCTACATAAAAAAATCCCAAAGAATCTCTTCAGAAAGCTGTTAGAATTTTACCAAGGTTGCAGAATTCAAGGTCTACATATAAAATCATGTTTGTATAGAAATGAACAATTTGAAACTGAAAGTATTATTTGCAATAGCAAATACAAAATATGAAATTTTATGAAATAGAAAATATGAAATAATTCTATGTTTATGTGTAACACAATACATGCAAGATTTGTACGCTAAAAACTATAAAATGCAGATAAAAGAAATCAAAGACCTACATAAATAATAGTAAATACCATGTTCTTGGATTGGGAGTTATATTCTTAAGATGGTAAGTCTCCCCAAACTGAACTACGTATTTGTTTTGTTTTGTTTTTTAATTATACTTTAAGGTCTGGGATACATGTGCAGAACGTGCAGGTTTGTTACACAGATATTCATGTGCCATGGTGGTTTGCTGTACCATCAACCCATCATCTACATTAGGTATTTCTCCTAATGCTATCCCTCTCCTAGTCCCCCACCCCCTGACAGGCCCCAGTGTGTGATGTCCCCCTCCCTGTGTCCATGTGTTCTCATTGTTCAACTCCCACTTATGAGTGAGAACATGCAGTGTTTGGTTTTCTGTTCCTGTGTTAGTTTGCTGAGAATGATGGTTTCCAGCTTCATCCATGTCCCTGCAAAGGACATGAACTCATCCTTTTTATGGCTGCGCAGTATTCCATGGTATATATGTACCACATTTTCTTTACCCAAGTTACCATTGATATGCATTTGTGTTGGTTCCAAGTCTTTGCTATTGTGAATAGTGCTGCAGCAAACATAAGTGTGCTTGTATCTTTATAGTAGAATGACTGATAATCCTTTGGGTATATACCCAGTAATGGGATTGTTGGGTAATCATAATCAAATCCTACCAGGCCTTTTTAAAGACAATGACAAGCCAACTTTAAAATCTTTTTGTAAATTAAGATAACATGATTATTACATATGAGCATGCCTAATTTACTGCACATCACTTTACTGTGCGTCACAGAAACTGCGTTTTTAATTAATTAATTTTTTTTTTTTGCAAATTGAAGGTGTGTGGGAACCCTGTGTCAAGCAAGTCTACGGAAGCAATTTTTGCAACACCACGTGCTCAGTTAGCGTCTCTCCATCACATTTTGGTAATTCTCACAATACTTCAAGCTCTTTCATTTATTATATCTGTTAGAATTATCTGTGATCAGTGATCTTTGATGTTACTATTGTAACTGTTTTGGGGCATCACAAAGTGCCCCCACAGAAGATGGCAAATTTAATCAATAAATGTGTATGTTCTGGAGTTGCCACCTACCCACTGTTCTCCTGTCTCTCTCCCTCTCCTCAGGCCTCCTTAATCACTGAGACACAGCAATATGGAAAGTAGACCAGTTAATAATCCTACAATAGACTATAAGTATTCATTTGAAATAAAGAGTTGCACATCTCTCATTTCAAATCAAAGGCTAGAAATGATTAAGCTTAGTAACGAAGACGTGCTGAAAGCTGATACAGGCAGAAAACCAGACCTCTTGCACCACATAAACAAGTCATGAACACAGAGGAAAAGTTCTTGAAGAGAATTAAAAGTGCTGCTCCAGTGAACACATGAATGAGAAGAAAATGAAACAGTCTTACTGCCGATATGGAGAAAGTTTTAGTGATTTAGATAGAAGGTTAAACTAAACACAACATTCTCTTAAGCCAAAGACTAATCCAGAGCAAGGCCCTAATGTTACCCATTGCCTAAATGACTTAGTTGGACTCCCACCCCATTTTTGTTGGCCAATGTAATGCCTATGTGACATGGCTAAATTCCTATTCAGCTTTAACTCCATTTATTTTTAGGAAACAGGACGTCTGTGGTCAGAAGTTCCTTCTTAGGTCTAAACCAGCTAAAGCTGATGAAATCCACAATGGCAGCTCACTGGACCTCTGAAGAACCTCTAGCTTCATTATAATCCAATTTCCATGCTAAGCTGACACTCCCATCAGCACCATGACAGTTGACAATCACCATGGCAATGACCAGAAAAGACCAGGAAAGCATAGAAAAGAGGTGGCTCCTTAATTCCAGGAAAATCTCCATCCCTTTCCAAGAAAAATATATTCCTCTCCTGGCTCTTAATGCCCAAACCCTTCATTAAAGATGCCCTATATCTGTAACTTCCAGATTTCTCAGGAGCTGAGAAGTTAAGCTAAGCTCCCACTTTTCCAATTCCAAGGCTACTGAATAAAGCCTGCACTGCCTGACACTCACTTTCAGTTTGGTGTATTGGTTTCATGATCCTGAACAGG